GAAAATTAATGACCTGCAAGATTTTAATGAAGTCGACAAAATGTTTTAGGGATTTCCTTTGTACACAATTTTATTCTCTCAACTAAATGAGAATAATAATTTGCTTCAATGCTCTTCAAGTAATCTCCGACTGTTAGCTTTAAATGAGCTAGGAAAAAAGTTTACAGTTCATTCGTGTGCAAAATAACAATGCTGTGCAGTTTAAAAAAAGGTTATTTTTTTTCCTTAATTTGTTGTTGACTAATAATTTGTGAGCATTTAAAACAAAGTGGAAACATTTACATATTGAGAGGTACTAATGAAGTAGTTTGTAAATAATCTTTTAAATGCTTTTTTACTTTTTTATATAAATCTATCATTGATTTAGGGGAAGAGGGAGGTTAGGGCATTTGCTAGGGGTTTTGTAAAAAAAATCTTAAAAATCCCCCCTCCTTAAATTTTTCTATCCAAAAAAAAATTCTTCCCCTGAAAATTCCTGGCTACGCCCCTGGCGCAAGAGCAAAAAAATCAGGGATTTAAACAATATTTCAAAGATTTTCCCATTTTCTCCTTGATTATACAAACGCATTAAAATACATGTGCTTATAATGTTAAAAATTTAAAGCAAAACATACCCCATGTGATTCATTCATAACCAAATATTTTTAATAGTATTCAGCAACAACAACTTCAAAAATTTAATTACAAAAATTGAAACATGGCAAAAATTTACTTTATCGTTGCATTCACCACACATACCAGTTGAATATGCCTGAATGCCAAAAAAAAGATAAAGAGAGACAAAAACAAATCTTCAATTAAAAATGTTCCCTTACTTTTGATTAAAATTTTATTTACATGTGAAAGCAATTTCATTTTGATTGAAATGCTGTATGGTTGTGCACACAGAATAAACTAGGAGTTGAAATTGATTTTTTTGTTGTATTTACATGTTGACTTGGGGTGGATTTTTAAGCTATATGGTCCATGGAAAATCTTTTTTTGCTTTATCTTTCCTTTTGTTTTCTTTTATACGTGATTGCCTTAATTCAATTGAACGTGATCAGTCTTTCTGCTTTTTTGATTTATTTGTGTTTATATATTGCTAATGACTATATAGTATACGTAATTCAATTTATTCACATCATATATGAGCGGCACAATTTGACGATGACGATCAAATGATCGTCATATGAGCGTCTTCGTCATGACGATGATGATTGTACGACGATTTTTTTTTTCTAAAATATTATGACGATCATATGACGATCAAATGAAAGTCACAAATGACGATAATTTTTGATTTTCTGCCCATTTCGATTGTATGTTTTGCTTAAACTTTTTTCTTTGAACTGTTTTTGCACTGTAAAAACTGATAATTATTTTCTGAATGGTATTTCGATGATTGAACAAAATTTTTTGTGAGATTTTGTAAATGAGCTTTCATTCAATGTATGCTCACTGATTTCTAACGGATTTTCAATTCAAAAATAGATATGCTTATCATCAATATGATCTTCAAAATGATTACAAAATTTGACATTAAATATTTTAGTAATCAAAGTTACCATTTTTTTGTGAAAATTTTATTTTCTTCATTTGTGTTCGAGAAGTTGAAGTGAGAAGGAGGAAAATTATATTCAATCCATTTTAAAAGCTTTTAAGAATAATCAAAGTGTGTGAATATGATATTTTAGAAATGGTAAGTTTTAGAAGCAATTGCTGCAAATTAATTTGTTAAATTAATTAATTTTATCCATTTTCTTAGGACGATTTTCCATAAAAAATGCTATCGGGCATTTCGATTTATTCTTTAATATCGTTGAAGCTCATTTACCTGGAACTTACAGCTCAGCGGAAGATGCTTCAACAGCCGTCAAAATTTATTTACATCGACGAAGAGAAAATCAAGCTAATCAGTTGAAGTTGACTAATCAAAACCGATTTAACGACGAGGAAAATCAAGAAAATGAGTAAAAAAATCAAGAATATCAAGAAAATAGTCAATCATTATTATCAAGCTATTGTTATTATCATTAATCTTAAATAATTATATTGTTAAGTTGTATGTTAAATGTAATGGCTTATGTTTATAATTTAAAATATATATTATTTAGAGTTATTCTACACAAATTAACACGTTTTTCGTTAAATTTTAAAAAATTATTTCAGTCAAAATTCAGCATATAAATCACGGTTTATGCTCGTCGTCTCGCGATAGTAATTTTGTCATTTGATCGTCATATGACCATCAATTGACGTTTTCATTTGATCGTCGAGTGACGAATTTTTCGTCAAATGACCATCATATGAGGTCATAAATCGAATCGAGACGATGTCGTGATGACGTCTTATCATCATATGACGATCATATGATCGTCATTCATGACGTCTTTATGACGATGACGGCTGTCATATGACAATCATATGACCGTCATATGACGCTTGTGTGCCGCTCGGGATAATAACATTCGTAAAATTGCTCCTTCTCTCAAATTTTAAATGTATTTAATGAGAATTTATCCTTAACCAATAGAGTTAATGAGTTAAATTAGTTAAATGCTCTTACGTAAAAGACTTGATTGCACAGATGCAATCAATTATTTTATTTATTAATTTTCAATTATAATTATCTATGCTTGAAATCGCAAAACTTCCAAAGTTTAAGCGCTCGTTCACTTATTACGTAACGCAAAAAACGAGTTTTTAGACCCCCCCCCTCCCCCCCTGTAACAAAGCGTAACAAAATCTTAGACCCCCCATAACGTAACAATAATTTTATTTCATTTAAATTGTTTATCAAATGTTTATTATACTTCCTTTAAGTATGTAAAATAAACAGTTTTACTTATAACTAAAAAGTTCTTAAGTTAAAATTTAACGTTAAAAAAATTTAAAATTAATATAGAAAAAATTATAAAAAAATATATTTTTTGAAAAGTTACGTAACAAAATTTTAAACATTTTTGGATTCTTTGGTAAAAAAAACTCAATTTTAATGTTTCAAAATAAAAATTTGTCTCTGTTTTTGTAAACATGTCATGATTTTGTTTTTGGTTTTGAATTTTTTTTAAAAAAACAGGAGATTTATAGACCAAAACAGGACACAGGACAGATTTCAAAAAAAAACAGGACATTCCTGTTAAAAATCCAGCAGATGGTCACCCTGCATTTAAGTCATTTGTGTGGAGATAATAATTATATTGAATTTTTAATGAAATTATCTAATACCATTTGCGTATTTCAACAAAAGTGTTTCAAGTCTATCGGTTGGAAGAAATTGTAGAGAGCGTAGCGGAGCTTCGTTTAATGAACATTTCCGTAATTACGATTAATTCTTAATACATTAACTGATGACATTAAGACATGTACACCAAGTTCAAATATCATCTTATTTATGAGAAATGAATTATCAAGGAACTCCTGTAGCACTAATGATGTATTATAATTTATATTATTATTTGCATAAATGACTTTCGTTGCATTAACACGACAATTTCTGATGATAAATCTCTTGTGGGAATTTTTCTCCCATCAACTTCGGGTAGTGTAAAGGAATGTAGAAAATTATATATTTTTCATACTTTTCAATTCTTGTGAACTGCAACTTTGCGAATACCTATGCCAAAAATCAAAGCGAATAAACTTAGGATTAATCCTGAAAAATCCCAAAAATTCTTAAAAATCTCCCACGGCCAATAAACATGGAAATGTGAAATCCCTTTTAAATCCCTGATGCATTTAATGAATAATTTCCAAGAAAAATTCTTTCACCCAGTTTCATCGGAAACAAAAGGATTATTCATCGGGTGTCCATGCCTCGGTGTCCTCCATTACGCATCAAAATTATAATTAATAACATAAACTATTTCATAATCAAGATTTTCAAAGACATGATTTATAGTTTTATCAATTTCTGATGCAATTATTTAAACCCTTAAATTACAGTTGCATTTAAGATGCGGTATAAGTAATAATTTGTAGTCACTTAGTTTCTATCGGTGCAATGTATAAATACCCACAAAAGCAATAATTAAACAAATTATTGCTACCATGGCATTATTCTTTTTGCTATTGATTTCGTTTTTGTATCCTCATGTTTCGCCTTTTTGATTTTATTTTAGGGTAAACCCGGTAAACCATGTTAAAATTTGTGCAATGTTGAAATTTTTGCGCTCACATAAAAAAAAAATCAGCCCAAATAATTCATTTAAACCAAAATTTTGTTTGCAGCTCTGTGTAAAACGGTTGTACAAAAATTTCTACATCATTTTGAACAGTCTCGAAGCTTGGAGCAGCTTTAAATTTGAAAAATTTAAAATCCCATACAAAATTGTGATTTTCATATTTTTAAATATTTGGACATAACCAGTGCTGCTTGTAATCAAATCACAGTTTTAATATAAAATTTGATAATTGCTATAGGCAATTCTTTGGATGCCTTTCGGAAAATTTTCAGCAAAAAATCAAAATTTTATTGATTTTTCCGATCAGAGGTACTGATTTTATGATTCTTATTGATGTAAAAATATAAAATGTACACTCCTTTTGATATCATATACTGTCATATACTTCTAATCGCTGTATTAATTAAGTTATTTGGATTCTTTTGTCAATAACTCGATGACAGAAATCGGAATTTTTAATTTTCATCATCCAAAGAATCGAAAATTAGAGAAAACTATTGAAATCCACATTGAATAACTTTTACTGAGTTACAAGTGTGCTTTTTTGTGTGCATTAAGTCAGTAATTAATGAAATATTTAAATTCTTTGAAAAATTTCCTCGTGTCATCGAGTTATAAAGAAGCTTTTTTTTGTCTTAATCCGTAAAAAAATACAAAATTTTCAAACATATTTTTTCAATTTTTCACTTAATTTGGGTGAGTTGTAACATTTCAATAGATCACTTGTAAAGAATTAATTATGCTTAATGATCTACAAAAATTCTGGCTTATTATTCGTTCACAGTAAAATGAAATTAAAGAAAACATTTTATTGACACAAAACTCATTGACATTGGATTATGAAAGCTCGTTTTTTTCCAAATTCTACTCATCCAAAGAATTGCCTTTTAAAAATAAAGCAACAAAAAGTATATTATATTAATTAAACCATGATTATGCCGTGTGTAAGATGTAAAGATAAACAAAGAAACAATGAATTAAGAGATATTCGTGGAAATGAACAAATTGAAGGACAAATCATCGCAAATTTCCCAGAAGTTCTTGAAATACATGAAAATAATGTAAGTTTTTTTTTTAATATTTCTTTAATTTAATTAACAAAGAACAATTAAAATTGTTTCATTTTCAGCCAATTAAAGTGTGTGTCAAATGCTTGAGAGAATTAAATGAGTTGATTAATAATCGTGAGCCAATTAGTCATTCTCCAAATAGATCCAGAAACTTGTCCGCAAAAAGTGATTCAGAAAATTTATCTGTTGAAAGTGAGAGCATCCAAAATATAACATCAGCACCATTAACTTCATCGTTACCAGGGAAGGTTTATTTTTCTTCTTCTTTAGATCTTGATAAGCTTAAACAGCCGGGAGAAATTGAAAAGTTAGTTCCTAACGATCGAAACATACAGCGAAATTTGAAACGATTGTTATCACAAGCAATGCCAGCATCAGCCAAAAAACGAAAGGTACAGGAAATGCTTGAAGATGGACCTATTGAAAATGATGCGATTTCTCATCAGAGAATTGCTTCAACTTCACAGTCAAGGACTGTTATCGAGGAACGAAATGACCATGATTACGCTCAGGAAATGTTCAGAACTCTTGTAAATCAATCGACGAGAATCAATAGGACATACAAGAGCGATACATCACAATCATCAAATATTTCTATGTTGAGAAATACATCTCAAGTAATCGAAAATTTGAGTTCGCAAGCTATTGTCAATCCATCACCAGAAATCACTCTGCCTCCTCAAACTCCAATAATAAGCCACATGACACAACCTTCTCAGCTTCAACAATCTCCACCAAATCCATCTCAAGCAGTTTTTTATGAGCCTGATAAAATATCGGCCAATAATCGTTCAAGCGATAATGAGCCTAGACTACGAAGGTCAGAAAGAATTGCGTCCAGAAATTCGAGAGTGGCTAGTAATGATAGTCAACCAGCACGAAAAAATAAAGACACAGCACGAAAAAGTAGAGATAAAACTAAACAAAAAAGTAGAGATGAAGAAGCAGCACAAACAAGCAGAGAAAAACAAACAGCACCGATTTCTGACAGACCAGGAATAAGACAAAGAAATGATGGAAATGACCACTCGAATTTAGCGGCACCCAGACGAGTTAATTTAATTGTTTTACCAACTACACGTGTTCAACATTCAACTAAAAATATGATAGGCGGATAGCTTATTATTGCTGTTATTGGGTACTTGGTTCTGGACATATTAGGGGAAACCTTTTTTTAAGGATTGTCCATTAATTAATGTCTTAAAAATTTTTTAAATTATATAATGATTTATAGTGAATTAAAATTCTGGTTAAAATTCTAGAATCGAAATTGCATTGCATAAATTCTAGAATTTTAATTAGAATTGAAATAAAATTTTATTTCAATTCTAATTAAAATTCTAGAATTTTTTCAATGCAATTTCGATTCTAGAATTTTAATCAGAATTTTAATTCACTAATGTTATACTTAATTTCGAATCTTTTTTTCGATTTTGTTTGGTAACAAACAAATTACAACTGAAAAATATAATTACTTTGTTAAAAATTTAACCTAATTTTGTCCATTTTTTTCATTTGTTTAATCTTTACTTGAATGACATTCCAATACCTCCCAAAGGTAATTTGTGTCTTTATGCTGAAAACACAGCTTATTTTATAAAGGCTTCATGGAAAACCCTGAATTCAATTAAATTTGAGCTTACAAAAACAGTAAGTCAATTATAAAAATATTTCCATGACTGGAAAATCAAGTTAAACGTATCTAAGACATAATTCAAAGTTTTTTTTAAGTCCACGAAAATGTTGCAGAAATTATCGAATTATTATTGTACTTTTTTCAAAGGAAAAAGCCGATTTAAATGCACAACACATTTCTGGCATTTAAAATGGCATAAAAAACCTTTGTAATGAGTTAATGGCTAGTTCTTTAATTTTCTTTTTTAGCGCATTTTTGAAACTTGTTTCGAATAATACGATTTGTTCGGCTGGCTGGCTGTTCGGCTGCTTGCAAAAACTTTTGATCTAGACATCGTATAGAGTTTTTAATTTTGTTTCTTTATTTTTTTTAGTTTAAAATTGTTAAAAACATTAGGTTAATATTATTTATGTAAAGTGAATTTATCTAGGGTAAACCATGTTGAAATTTGTGCAATGTTGAAATTTGTGCACTCATTTCAAAAATAAATCATCACTTGTAAACCCTTTATGCTAAACATTTGTATGCAGTTCTATGTAAAACTGATATCTTAATGTTTCCACATCATTTTGGAAAGTCTTGAAGCCTTAAGCAGCCTTAAATTTAGAAAATTTAAATTCACATACAAAATGAAATTTTTCACCTTTTTAATTATTTGGACACAGCTAATGATTTTTCTTATCCAATCTGAGTTGAAAAACAAATTTTCTTTATTGCTTAATCGTTTAAAAAAGTTATTGCTTAAGGAAAGTCATTGGAAGTTATTTAAAAATTGATTTTAAAATCAGTGGTTTTCAAATGTTGAAATTTGTGCGAAATTTTTTGACAAATTTTGAAATTTGTGCGCTTTTTGTCGTAGAAAGCAATGGCACATTTTCTCAACAAAAATAATTATTTATATTCAAAAATCGGGTTTTTAAAGGCAAGCATGAGAATAAAGACAGAAATAACACCAAGAATATATGGGCTGAAAAGAATAAAAAATGTATTTGACTCAAAAATTTAAACACAATCAAGAAAATGAATCTGACTTCAAAAATTAAAATAGGAATCAAAAAACCATTTAAGAACTACGTTCTGTGTTCAGTCACAAATAGATAATTAAATAAACATAATATAATTCGTTAAAATGGTAATTATGTACTTTAGCGGCGACTTTTTAAAATGCATTTTAAACGCTTTTATATTATTTCTAATGTTTCTTGGAACCATTATCAGTTGATTTTAGGTGGGGGCGACTTACCCCGGGGCACAAAAAGCTTTTTTTTTAAAAAAAAATTGTCTTCAACCTAAATTGTTTTTATTTGATATTTTTTGATTAATCAGTCAAACTAGGGGGCATCGTGGGAACCGGGGGTTCTCGGGTGGGGACCACAACATAAAAGCTCTTTCGGGGGGTCAAAAGCTTTCAAAAAAGCTCTATAAAAGCTTTCAAAAACGGGTACAAGGATTTTCTCCGAAAATCAATTTTCAGGTGGTTACAAGGATTTTCTTCGAAAATCAATTAAACAAGTGGGTACAAGGATTTTCTTCGAAAATCAATTAAATAAGTGGGTACGAGGATTTTCTTCGAAAATCAATTAAACAAATGGATAAAAGGATTTTCTTCGAAAATCAATTTTCAAGTGGGTACAAGGATTTTCTACGAAAATCAATTAAACAAGTGGGTACAAGGATTTTCTTCGAAAATCAATTAAACAAGGATTTTCTTCGAAAATCAATTAAACAAGGATTTTCTTCGAAAATCAATTAAACAAGTGGGAAAAAGGATTTTCTTCGAAAATCAATTAAACAAGTGGGAAAAAGGATTTTCTTCGAAAATCAATTAAACAAGTGGGAAAAAGGATTTTCTTCGAAAATCAATTAAACAAGTGGGAAAAAGGATTTTCTTCGAAAATCAAAAATGTCAAATTTCTCTCAAAAAAGATTAAAAACTGAAAATTCCAACAATTTTTGATCATTTAAGCCCAACAATAAATTTTTAAAGTAAGGCATTAAAAAGTTTCAAGCAAATGAAATCTTCAAGTGCAAAAACACAAAAATTTCAACATTGTATAATCCTTACAATCCTTCCATACGAATTGTAAGGATTGTACAATCCTTACAATCCCCACAATCATTTTCATATAAGGATTTTAAGGATTATACAATTCCTTCAATCTTTCTATAAAACGATTGTAAGGATTGTACAATCCTTACTAAACAAAAAATAATGGTCATTTATTTTTAAAAAATAAAATAAAATACGAAAAATGAAGAAAAACAGTCAGAAATTTCTTTAAAAATAATTGTATTTAAAATTACAGAGTTGCTAATCGAGTCACATATTGTTATGATGTATATATCTATATATACTTATATTTTATACCTGCACAATATATAAGAACACACAATAATTTACTTTGAATCAATTCGAATGATTTTTTATACATTTTAACTCATTAAAAAGTTGTAAAAAGTATAATTTTTAAACCTGTGAGTGATTTAAATCAAAAATCAAAATCAAAATCTTTTTGCAATGATTTTTAAAAGAGATTTTGATTTAAATCATTTTTGTATGGGGATTTTTATATTCACACCGTTTTCACGTGTGAATCTATTGGTTTTGTTCAGATTGAAAAATCAGTTTTTCGCATTTTGAGAGAAAACAAAGCAAAATTGGTTATAAAAGGTTTAAGAAGAAAAGTTTGTGCCTGGAATTTTACATCTTTTGCAAAAAAACAGATTTCAAATTGGTTGCGCCATTACTGAGAAAATCGCAAAATACGCTTTCTCTAAGCAAACAAGCAAGCAAGTTAATCAGCAAGAAATCTCAATAACGAGACATTATAGAGACTTCTGGTTTTTTACATTTGATCCGTGCTGCTCTATAGAAGAGCTGTATTGTTTTTAGGCAATGTAGGAATAGCCGTTGCTTCAGAAAAAGCAAAAAACTTTCCTTTCTTACGAATTTTTCAAAACAAAAGTTCACTGTGATTTTTTTTTTTTAAATTAAACTTTAGAGCTAGCTTTATTCATTCATACATTGAAGATTATGCTGAGCGAAGCTCAGCTGATTCACTAGATTTATACATTCAAACTTATGCTAAGCAAATCTTGGTCTATCCATAAGACTTTTGATGGTACGGTGTGAATATATCCGCGTTGGGTTACTACCCGATACACTAGTTTTTTGGGATTTTGATTTAAATCTCTTGTATGAGAGATTTTATTGGGATTTTGTATTCAATTTCTCAAATTATTTTTCAAATTATCAGTTTTCAGTTGCAGTTCCTAATAAGTAAGAATGCAGTTGATCCTTTTTTGGCCAGAATCTTGCAACTGGATCTATTAGATCCAAGCATTTTTTAAAGAAAGGTTACAGCTACCAATGGTTCCATGCTGTTTTAGTTAAACGAAATCCAATTCGTGATTTTTAATCTTCTGTGACTTGATGTACGAAAGGAATCGGCCAGTTCCGCAAAAAAAAATTTTGACTTCAAGAGGTGAATTCTTGATGAAAAAGCAACAAAAAAATTTTGTGGATGTAAAGGAACTAGGCAGTTCAAGTGCCTATTCTTGCTTATGACTTATTAAACTAACGTACTGTAATAAAAGATATTTAAGTTTTTGAAAGCATTGAAATCAGGTAAATCCTCATATGAAGTAAGATCCAGGCATGCTTGATGAAGTCCAGTTATTTATATGCAAGCAGCAAGGCATCGAAGATTAAAAATCACGAATTGGATTTCGTTTAACTCAAAGAGCATTAATCCCAAAAAATCCCAGAAAATCCCAAAAAATCCCGAAAAATCCCAAAAAAATCCCAAGTTTCCTACAAAAATTCCAAAAAATCCCAAAAATCCCAAAAAATCCCGAAAATTCCCAGAAAATCCCGAAAAATCCCAGAAAATCAAAGCAGAAATATATCATAAACAACATTCTAATCAAAAAATAAGTTGTTAATTAAAGGAAAATTTGAAATATTTTGTTCGCGGATTAGGAAAATAAACGTTTTTGCGTTGCACTTGTAAGAAATTATAAGAAAAAATAAGAAATTGAATTAAAATTCCTCATTTTTCTACTAAATGGTACTTAATAAGTGCTTTTAAGGTAAATTAAGCATGCACAATGATAAAGTTTTAATTTGTTAATTATTATTAAGTTAATTTTTGGATAAAATTTCAGAATTCATAATTATTCATTAATTAAAGCATGTAGAAGAAACCAATATCAACACAACGATACAGTTTACCATTTTACATAAGTGTTTTGTGTCCTTGATAGCTTAAAATCTTACAAAAAAGAATTTGAAAAATCTTAAAATACTATCCTAATTACAAAAAAAAATTGCCAAAAAAGCATGTAATTTTCAACTTATGTATTTTTATCTATGCTGGTTGCAGTTCTGTATGCATTTTGATCCACTCAAATATCTATAACTTTATTCAGAATCAATATTTTGCAATCCGTTTTCGGTTATTGCTAGATTAAATCAGTACCTTTAAAATGGTATATAAAATTTGTATGAAACTTATACTTCTTATGGAAAAGTTTTTAATGTGACCGACGCAAGCTGAAATTGAACAAAATAGCGAAAATGAAAATTTTTTGATGGGTAACCATATAAAAGTAATGTGTTTTGTCTCAGATGTGTTTTAA